TATCTGGATTTTGAATAGATACCCATCTATTATTGTAACCATGAATATTCACAACAAATATTCACGCAAATATTCATAAATCAATTATCAATTACAAACCCTTCAACTATCCATGAATTTAATATTCAATGAATATCCATTTTTAACCGTGAATATTCATGGATCCAAACTTTACCTCAAACTTCCGGACTTACATAGATAAAAACTCGTTTTTTTACTGATTAAAGTAGTGATTATAAGTAGTAATCCCCGTCATGCGTTCATATAGAAACTTGCGAAATAACGTCAACCTACGCGCTAACTAATTGATCTGCACTTTATTCGGATACGCTATGTGTGTTTATTTCTAAATAAGAGTAGATTTTCTAAATCCAATACAGTCAACCTTTAAAAGTGCATTTATAGAATATTCATTTATAGAGAATAATCTATATGTAATACTAAATAATTACATTAGACCGATCAAATTATGTGCACTTATCATGTGAAATTATTAAATGATCAGAAAAAATTTTAGACAGTTCTATTCCTTAGTATCAACTTATCACATTCCTTCTAAATCTTTTAAATTCATATTGGTATAAAAAGTCCAATCTCATTAAAATGAACTATTCATCCTTCATCTAAATTTGATTCTAAATCGACCTCATACCCGCGTGCGGCAAACTTCGTTATTTCTTATATCCATATTTAATAACATTAACTAAAAATAAAAAATTCAATTTAGCGAGGTGATTATCAATTATCGTGTTATCTTTGTTATGCTCGCTAAAAATCGTTGTGCGTAACACACAACAATTATGAGAATTGTGATCTACAAATTTTATCAAAAGTACATACATCATTTTGCAAACTACGACAATAAAACTTTAATTAAGGTCAGAGTTGAAGTTTATATAGTCAAAATTTTGAGTTACTGGCAGTTTGTCTAAAGCAATGATTTTTGATTTAATTGAATATGAACAGGCTGAACAACTTGCAGAAATATTTAACTTTTTAAAATATGATTTTTTTTAAGATCAAATATTTGTTTTTTGTATAAAAAAGAAGCCAAGTTATTGACAATTACCTTCAATTTTTTCACACATTTTCGAATTTAATAACTAATTCACAAAAATCATTGATAATTACTTTTAAAATTCATATATTTTCAAATTAATTACCTAATTTACAAAGATGAATAAAAACTTAATATTTATATATTATTATTGTTATATTTTTCATCACAGTCAATGCTAATGGCTTTTTTACTGATTGTTTAACTTATGGCACTGAAGTTGGAATTAATAACGCCATGGTATTTTTTTGCTCCTGACCTTCCTGGCCCTCCCGAAACTTCAATGACTCTTAATTATTCTGTCAGTGGCATAAATAGTACAAAAACTTCCAACTTTCTTTCGATTGGATTTCTTGATCAAGACGATGATTCTCCCTTTGATTTCCATCGGTGGCAAGTTAGTGCTGGTTTAACAAAAGTTCATATAACTAATATATTTGCCACATTACCATTTATAGAGGATTAATTCTCATTGGTTGTTACTTTAGCAGATTCTTTGGAAATTATTAACTGTATAGCTTTTCTCCGTTTCAGTCATAGTGGTAAACTGGCTGGGAAAGTAAATCCACTGAATTTGCTACTGCGTAAATTAATTCACTTTTTGTTATTATACGAATTCTTATAATCTCCCCATGTGTATTAGCTGAAATTATTAGTTCACGCTCTAGTTTTGTAGTTATTTTAGCGAATTCTTGGGACATCTTTAACTGTATAACTTTCCCCATTTCACGCATGATAATTCATAAATTCATCTGCTTATTGTTATTATACAAATTCTTATAATCATCTTATGTATTTCGACTGAAATTATCTTTTTATCTTTTAATTTACTATGTTTTTTAATTTTTACTATTTTATATTATTTATTCAATAGTTTTAAAATATGATACTATTGTGTCACGCGTTATTTGTCCAACTATTCATCATAGATTTCAATTTTTCAACGTTTATCAATCAAAAAATTGTCAACAAAAGGCTTCACCATTAAGTGATGAACTAAATTGATTTGTTAACATTATTTAATATTATTTTATATTTTTTGATTTTTTTTCTGAATAAATAATAACTTTTAAAATTTAAGATTTAATATATATAATAAATTTTATGTAATTCTAATCCTAACTAGATAATCATACGCACGAGAAAGAAATTTTACTCTCTAATCAATCAATCGTTTCATCACTTACGCAAATATAAGATTTACTAATATAATTGCAGTTAATTCTAGTCTTATCAATAAGTTATTCATCAGGCTGCAACCGATGAATGAAACTTCATTGTGCTATATAATACTAGTAATAAAACGGCGATGTTTCATAAGGCCGGAGCCTTATGTGAATTTTTTTAAAAAACAAACATATGGGCAGTGTTTTGAGAAAAGGGCCCAAATTGATAAAAATAAATTCTTTACAAAAAATTAATTATCTCGTAAGCTATTGTTCAGAATTGTAAAATTTTAGCATCATTCAATTCCTCTCGATGAGATGAATCGGATGATACCAAAATCATGCAATTCTGATTAATAGTTTACGAGATAATTGTAAAGAAATTTTTTATCAATTTGGACCCTTTTCTCAGAAAATTGTCTATATTATACCGTAGCTTATATTATCATCAAGATAATTTATAATTGTCCGAAGGATGTAGTCACCGCGTGCGTGCAAATTGAAAGATTTGATTGGTTGTCTATCAATGTAGTTTATTCCTCTCAACTTTGGTTGATTAGAGAAATTCTTCTGACCTTTAATAGTCTCTATTCTACTAGTATGATAAAAAACTAAATAAATAACAGGATATATAATTAGGTGCTATTTCTATTAGTCAAACTTCGTCTATTTTTCCTTTTGTTGATGAGGGTATCTAATATTTATAATATTCTCACGAATCATGTTATATAACCATAAGTGTTGAAGAAAAAATGTACACAGGATTCAAGTGCCTATATATTAAAAAACTTGCTTGAACTTTTACGAAGCAGTTATTTTTTATTTGTTCTGCATCATATTCGAGAAGAGTCTAACTTATGCATCAGATTAAAATGCATATCATAATAACAGAGATAAACAATAAAAACATTATAATAATAATATGTTATTTCAACTAGACAACTATAGAGATTCGTTTAGTTTACACACCGAAAGTCTAGCGCATTAATCGTTAATAAAACGGCAAAGTCTTTTTATCACAAAAATATTGTACTATACTGCATCATTGCATATTTCTACATTTCATCGCTAAGTTAAAGGCTAATATAAAAATGTTATTTTAGGTGGCATATTAAATAATCATTAATAAATTACTGATATAATGTATTTGTTTTATACATAGCTTTAATAATGACATCATAAATTTAAATGACTAAATATTTTTATTTATCTACAAAGTAATCTAAATATATATAGTTTCTGTTTAAAATTTATAATTTGTTATTATTTAATATCAGTGTCGGAAATCTGTTTAAGATTTATGTTCTCATGAAAATAAATTATTTAATTTAATGTCCTCAAAAAAATTATTTATGTTTTTACAGTAAGATTTATTTACATCCCAATTTTTTAAATCTCTAATATCGGACATTTATTCAATTTTTGACCCAACCAGTATCCCAACGCTTCTCGTCTTTATTTTTCTTGTAGTATGTTCTCAAATTTTCATAAATAATATTTACAGAACATCAATGTTCCCAAATCTAAAGACATGTTTTTATGTTCTCATGAAAACATGAGATTTCCAACACTGATTAATATTACTATGTATTATACAATCTATGAAGCCTATAGTCCATTGAAAAAAATTTTCAATAGTTAATTTTTCAGACCAATGGACTGGAGCTCCATTGGTTACAATGGACAAATTTGCCAACCCTGGTTATGTGGGATGGATGTCTATTGCGGATCAGAATTAATGGTAGTGAGTTATTAAGGAATGTATCTTCGTTGGCGATTAAAGGAATTTTATTCATAGGTACGCTATTTATTATGCATCTAACATAACTATTTCTATCTTGCTTTTTCTCTTATAGTTTGAGCGCTGTATTTATACAATTCAACTTCAGAGGGTTTCAACCCACAATTTAGATTTTCAAAACCACAAACCCAAATCTTGGGTTTCGAACCAATTGAACATTCTAGCAGAAATATTCTACACGATTACTAACAAAATAATGTATAGACAAAAAATGATAAAAATTTTGCAGCACTACAAATCACGATAAGTCCAATACAAAATTAACATAATCTTATCTAAATCATTTATGCAACCACAATACAGTCATACCTCTTTATAATCACCCCTATATAATCACATCATATAAAAACCTTTTTATAATCACACCTATATCTTCGCCCAATTACTATCTAATATATAACAAAAGACCTCTATATAAGCACACCTCTTTATAAGAACATTTTTTAAAAAGTTCCTATGGTCCCAAAAGTGTGATTATAAAGAGGTGCGACTGTATATATCCATTTTGCTATCTTTTCCAAATATGCATAAAGCATGGAATAATTGTGATTTTGAGCATTCTCTTTATCATCTTTAATATCTTCATATTTAGCATTTTCATAAGTATCCACAGGCTTATATTCCTCTAAAGAGAATTTTGTGTGTTGCTCTTCTAGTGTTTCGTTTTCTTCATGATATTTAGCATTGTAAGCATCCATGGATATATATTGTTTCTTTGCTGAAGAAAATTGAGCGTGTTGTTCTTCAAGGTTTTGTGAGAACATTTTGAATTTCTTTGGCAATATATTGTGGATTACGACAATATTATTTTAAAAAGTTTTTGAAATTTATAAGGTTTGGTGCTATCTCTTTTAACGTTTTAATTATAATTTGAACTCGTAAAAGCTCATTCTAAGCTCTATTTCTCACTGTAGAATTGATAATATTCCCTAATCAGTGTTCTTCAAAGCTCATTTCTCCATCAATCAGATATTCATGTATATTATCTGCACTATTATGGAATGAATAAATCACGGAAAGAACTCATTAAAGTTGATCTTGAAATCCAGGTATCTGCTTTTCTAATACTTCGAGTCGTTTATATATAAATTCCGCTGCACTATTTGACAATAAGTGGCTATTTGATTTAATAAAAAATTCGAAAAAAACCATATTCTAACCACTGCGAATTTTCAGTTTCTAGTATGATTGCCTTCATTTCACTTGCAAGTGAAAAGAAAAAGCTTTTTGCTAATACCGAAATTCATCGAATTCATCATCTGCAACTTCTATTTCTTTATCTAATCCAAAGAACTTCAGAAATTTTCTTCCCATTTTTAACTATACTATCGCTTTTTTCCATTATCACACTGAGGTCTTGAATAATAACACAGTAACCACTCATTTCACTTGTTTCTGAATGAATTTATAAAGTACAGATTAAGTAAATTATATAATCTGTATGCATTTATAAAGTGCAGATTAAATACGTAAATTATATAATCGACATGCATTTGTTGAACAAATATATACCTTAAATTTCAAGCGATGATATTTTTCTGATCCAGAATCTGCTAAATTAATGATACTTTGAAAGATAAAAGGTTTATTTTGAGAAATTTCTTGTCCAAATTGCATCTTATAAATAATATCAAATTATATAAATTATAATTTAATTTTTTGAAATAAATAACTATTTAGCTCGATACATTCATTCTTACAGTCATAACCAAATATTCGTGAAAATAAGAATTTATCAATTAATGTCGCGGCTGATGCTTGAAACGGCTGATGATGGTAATCATGTGATAAACGATGATCATCTGCATTTGTCAATTTTGATTATGTAATATATCTACTATAGTCAAATGGGATGCGACATGGTATCGTCAACTGGGGTGCGACATGGTATTGTCAACTGGGGTGCGACACGGTATAGTTAAATGAGGTGCAAGCCAAGATTGTCTTTATAGTACGTACCCGCTTCTAAGCCTATGTGGCTTATTTTAGTTTTACAAATTTTTATAATGATCTAAAAGAATTACTGGGTTTGCTAGTCTTTTTTATGGTACTCGCTTCTGAAAAGATTAGGAGCCTATGTAGTTCTTTTAGTTTTACGAACCTTAAAGGTTGGTAATTTACTAACTGCATTTCTTAAATTCGAAACTCTAGTACTTCATGTTAGTAGCTATTAATTAGTAGTTTTTTTTTAAATCTAAATCACAGAAATCAAGTAAGTGACACAAGTACCAAGCTCTAAGAGAAAAAAAACAAGGTAGTAGTTTTGCTATTAGTTTTCATTTTTATATTTCTCTATATTTATGTATTTATTTGGATTTATTACAGAGAATCCAATACGCCATTACTGAGTTTAAAGAAAGTTAGTAGTAATTTACTATTATTTTTGTAGTTCTATTTTTCATACTGTGATCTTACTTGAACTTATTATAGTATTATAGAAGAAGTCAGTAATTTGTTATTAGTTCGTGATTCAACTTCTTTATTGTAATCTTGAACTTATTGCAGAGACTTGCTATTGGATTCATGGCTATTTTTGTTTTCTTTATTTGAACTTATTACAGGACCTGACTGAATATGCAAATTCTGTGTTGGGGTTTTTTTCCAAAAAAAAAAGAAAGGTTAGTAATTTGTTATTAGTTTCATGGTTCTTTTAGTTTTCGTTATTGCATTATAACTTGAACTTATTGTAAGAACTGATTGTATAGAGAATATGTACTTCATGTTTTTTTTTCTAAAACCAAACAAAAAAAAAGGCTATTAACTTGTTATCAGATTTATGGTTCTTTTAGTTTCTTTATTGTGATCTTAATTGAAATTACTGTATTCCAGAAATGTGAATGTGCCAATGTTTTTTTCAAAAAAAGGTAGTAATTTGTTACTGGTTTTGTGGTTTTTTTAGTTTTCTTATTGTAATTCACCTTGAACTTATTACAGAACCTGAATGCATCGAAATTCTGTGCCAAGTTTTTTTAAGGAAAAAAAGTTGGTAATTTACTTAGTTCCTTGATTTTTGTTAGTTTTCTTGTGTTCTAACTTGAAGCCATTATAGGAGCCTGAATGTGCCAAAATTCTGTGCCTAAGTTTTTTTTTTTTTTTTTAGTCCAAAAAAAAAAGGGATTAGTAACGAGTTATTAGATTCGTGGTTCTTTAGTTTTCTTTATTATGATCTTATTTGAACTTATTTTAGGAGCCTGGATATGCTAAGATTCTGTGCCATGTTTTTTTTCAAAAAAAAAAGTTAGTAATTTGTTATTAGTTTCGTGGTTGGTTTAATTTTCTTATTGTGACCTTACTTAACTTATTACAGGAATCTAAATATGTATAGATTTTGTGCCTAAGTTTTTTTTTTTTTAAAAAAAAAAAGGTTAGTAATTTGTTACTCGTTTCGTAATTCTTTTAGTTTTCTCATTTGTGATCTTACTTGAACTTATTACAGGAACCTGAATATATAAGGATTCTGTGCCAAGTTTTTTTTTCAAAAAAATAAAGGTTACTAATTTGTTACTAATTTTCGTAGTTCTTTTAGTTTTTATAGTGATCTTATTTGAACTTATTATAGGAACCTGAATGCACCGAGATTTTGAGCCTCATAATTTTTTTCTTTTAAAAAAAAGGCTTACTAGTTTAGTAGATTTTTTAGTTTTCCCATTGTATCTTATTACAAAAACCTGAATACGCAGAGATTCCGTTCCCAAGTCTTTTTTTTTAAACAAAAAGGAAGGTTAATATTTTGTTGCTAGTCTCGTGGTTCTTTTAGTTTTTTTTATTGCATAATAATTTGAACTTATTACAGGAACCTGAATGTGAGCTTCAAGATTTTTTTTAAGAACAAGATAGCTTGTTATTAGATTCATTGTTCTTTTAGTTTCTTATTGTGACTTATTTACTGTATTATAGGAACCTGAATGTGCCCACTCTTTTTTTTTTAAAAAAAAGAAATAAGGTTAGTAACTTTTACTGGTTTTGCAGTTCTTTTATTTTTCTTATTGTAATCTTACTTAAGCTTATTACAGGAACCTGAATATGCATAGATTTTGCACCCCAAGATTTTTTTTTTTTAAAAAAAAAAAGGCTAGTAAATTGTATTAGTTTCGTAGTTCTTTTAGTTTTTTCATTGTAATCTTACTTGAATTTATTACAGGAACCTTAATATGTGAAGATTCTGTTCCAAGTTTTTTTTTTCTTAAAAAAAAAAAAGGTTATTAATTTGTTACTATTTTGTTTTAGTTTTCTTGTGGTGATCTTATTTGAATCTATTTCAGGAACCTGAATGCATTGAGATTCTGAGCCTATAAATTTTTTTTTTTTTAAAAAAAAAAAGGTTAGTAATTTGTTACTAGTTTAGCGGATTTTTTAGTTTTTCCTTTGTGATTTTACTTGATCTTATTACAGGAACCTAAATGCAGAGATTCTGTGCTCAAGCTTTTTTTTTTTTTTTTAACAAAAATCAAAGTTAGTAATTTGTTACTAGTCTCGTGGTTCTTTTAGTTTTCATTATTGTATTATAATTTGAACTTATTACAGATACCTGAATGCATATAGAATCTGCGCTTCAAGTTTTTTCAAAGAACAAAATAAAAGGTTAATAGCTTGCTATTAGATTCATCGTTCTTTTAGTTTTTTATAACAACTTATTTACTGTATTACAGAAACCTAAATGTGCAGAGATTTGTGCCCGCTTTTTTTTTTTCAAAAAAAAGAAATAAGGTTAGTAACTTTACTGGGTTTATAGTTTTTTTATTTTTCTTATTGTGATCTTACTAAAACTTATTACAGGAGCCTGAATATACATAGATTCCGCGCTTCAAGATATTTTTTTTTTAAAAAGGTAGTAAATTGTATTAGTTTTGCGGTTCTTTTAGTTTTCTCATTGTGATCTTACTTGAACTTATTACAGAAACCTGAATACACAAAGATTATGTTCTAAGTTTTTTTTTCAGAAAAAAAAAAAGTCATTAATTTGTTACTATTTCATAGTTCTTTTAGTTTTTTTGTGGTAACCTTATTTGAACCCATTACTGTATTACAGGAACATGAATGTATTGAGATTCTGAGTCTCGTAATTTTTTTTTTTTATAAAAAAAAAAAGGTTAGTTTAATTGCTAAAAATTTGAATTTGTCAAATAATGTGCTACAGGGTAGAAGCATCGATATTATTTGCAACTCTTATACGCGTAGTGGTAGCTCTAACCCCTACACGTGCAGCCTAACCCAACACGCATCACGTGTTGTTGCTAACCCTAACACGCATCACGTGTTTTCCCATACTCTAACGCGGTTGGTGTATTTGTTATCATAGTATAAATAGTGTCTCTAATATTTTTTCCTAACTTTAATTCTGTAATTATGCCAGCAACCCCAAAACTTCCCAGAACACCAACTGAATACAAGGATATAGTTAATTACCTTAAATCAAAAAAAATACCTGAAACCATCAATAATTCTGTTGCAAAATGTAGATTTGAGAATCATTGTAAAAAATTTGAATTAGATGAAAACAAGATTTTTTACCTTTCTGCTGCTTTTAAAGATGGTAAAATAGTATTAGATAAATGGCATGTTATTCTGAAATATAATGTAGAGTTGCATGTGTTATTGCTAAAAAACTTTTATGACCAATCAAATCATAGAAATTATTATAAAACTTTTTCTGCGCTTACTGAAAAACATATTAAACATATCGGTATTATACAAACTGAGGTACAGGCTTACATTAATGAATATCTAGTTTGTGCTATTAATTCTTCTATTAAAGAACGGACCAATATAAAATCGGTTACGTCTGTGGCACCATGGCAGCATATTCAAATTGATTTAATCGATTTTCATGATTTTAAAAATGTGAATTACGGGTTTGCATGGTTACTTACTTGTGTTTGTACGTTTACAAAATACCTTGTTGCTATTTTTATAAAAACAAAGAAGCAGGTACAGTCGCTGTACATTTAGTTAAAGACGTCTTTAGAATTCTTGGCCCACCATTAGTTTTACAAAGTGACAATGGAAAGGAGTTCAAAGGGATAGTTAAGCAAGTATGTGAAATTCTCAATATCAAAATTAAGCATGGCTGCCCTTGCTACCCCAGTCCCAAGGACAGGTAGAACGACTTAACCAAACAATTGGTTGAGGTTTCACAAAATTGCTATAGGATCGTGATAATCAACTTCAAAAAAAGGAATGAACCAATGTATTAGATGCCTTTGTTATGTCTTACAATTCAACTGTACATACTGCACATAAACATACACCTCATGAAGTTATGTTTGGTTGAAAGATGCATTGCATCTATAAAACACCAGATTTGAATAATGAAGTAAATACTTATGAAATATCAGATAATGATCAGGAAAATGAAATGAATGTTTACGAAGCACCCGATAATGATAACAACGAAGCACCTGATAATGATAACAACGAAGCATCTGAGAATGATCAGGATGATGAAGTGAGTGAAGCAAATGCTTTGGAAACATATAATCCTGATAATCTTGATAATGTAGAACAACATGTGTTATGAGTATCAAAAATTCATAAGGTTAGGTTTAAAGTAAGCAGTAAAGCTTAATTGTAAAATTTTGACCATTTTTTATTTTTTTTTTTTAGTCAGTAAATACAACACTAGGAAAATATTACAAAAAAATGTGTCAACAAGGAAGTGTTCATAGAAAAAAACACCAAATAATACAATTGAGACCGGAACCGTAGTTAATGTTGCACCAGACCATGATACCAACTCTCAAACCTAAAAGAAAAAATTACAGCCAACATATTCGCAACAAGGCATATTCAAAAGACTAACCTCGAATAATCACACAGCGATTGTTGAGATAGATGGAAAGGAAATGCTCATTCCAATTAAACAGGTCAAAGTTGTAAAGTCATGATTTTTTTTTTTTTTTTTTAAAAAAAGAAATTTTTTTTTTTTTTTCTTAACCAATTTTAAATTTTTTTTAAACAAAATTTAAATGTAACTTTCTTTTATTTTAAATATAAATTTTTTCAAACAAAATTTTATAAAATATCAAATGCTTTTTATTAAAATAAAAATTCCACATATAAATCAGTAAAATTTTTTGGTACAAGTTATAAATACCAATAAGAAATTAAAAGAGCCACATCAAATTGAATATTTCCTGATCTGAAATTTTAGGGCTAATATATTGAATTTTTTTTAAAAAATGAATTTAATCGCCCCTTTTGCTCTTAAACATTTAATAATTCACGTAACAGTAATTATTAAAGTTGGCTAATCAAATCTAAGCACGATATGCTTATAAACTCAGCAGGCTACTACAGTAAGAATTATGCATTACATATTCAAGTTTTCTTTTATTTTTGTTCTATGGATTTAAAAGAATCATGAAACTATAGATTAACTCCTTTAAATTGACCCAATCTTTTTTTTGACTCAGAATCACGGCTCATTCAAGTTCCTGTAATTAGTTCAAATAAGATCAAAATGAGAAAACTAAAAGATCCACAAATCTAGTAACAAATTACTAGCCTCTTTTTTTTTTGAAAAAAAAAGATCGAGGACGAATCTTGGCATATCAAGATTCCCGTTATAAGTTCAAGTAAAATCACAGAGAAAATTAAACTACAGTGCTAGTAACAAATTACTAACCTTTTTTTTTAAAAAAAAAAGATCAGGGTGAATCTCAGGTTCCTGTAACACAGTAAGTTCAAGCAAGATCACAATAAAACTAAAAAAACCATGAATCTAATAAGTTCACCTTTTTTTTTTAGAAAAAAAAACTTGGGACCACATGTTTAAGTTATAATATAATAATGAAAGTAAAAGAACTACAAGACTAATAACAAACTACTAACCTTCCTTCTTGTTTAAAAAGCAATTTGGGTACAGAATCTCAGCGCATTTAGGTTCCTGTAATAAGTTCAAATAAGATCATAAGAAAACTAAAAGAACCACGAATCTAATAGCAAATTACAAACCCTTTTTTTTGTTTTTGAAAAAAAAAAGATTTGAGCACAAAATCTCGGCGTATTTAGGTTCCTGTAATAAGTTCAAGTAAGATCACAAGAAAACTAAAAAAACCACGAATCTAATAGCAAACTACCAACCTTTTTTTTTTGAAAAAAAAACTTGAGTGCATATTTAGGCTATAATAAGCTTAAGTAAATCACAATAAGAAACCAAAGAACCACAAAAATAGCGAAACTAGTAACAAATTTTCATCAACTTTTTTGTTTTAAAAAAAAGATCTTCGGCTGAGAATCTTGATGCATTTAGGTTTCTGTAATAAGTTCAAATAAGATCACTATGAGAAAACTAAAAGAATTACAAAGCCAGTAACAAATTACTAACCTTGTTTTTTTAAAAAAAAAAACTTGGAACACAATTTATGCATGTTTAGGTTCCTGTAATTATCCAAGCAAGATCACAATAAAGAACTAAAAAACTACAAATCTAATAGCAAATTACTAACCTTTTTTTAAAAAAAAAAAAGTTGAGTACAAAATATCGACATATTTAAGTATAATAAGCTCAATTAAGATCACAATGAGAAAACTAAAGAACCATGAAACTAGTACAAGTTTTTATCTTTTTTAGAAAAAAAAATCATGGGCTCAAAATCTTGATGCATTTAGGTTCCTGTAATAAGTTCAAATAAGATCACACGGAGCCAGTAACAAATTACCAACCTTGTTTTTTTAAAAAAAAACTTGGGTACAATCTTTGGGGCACAGGTTCTATACGCATTAAGGTTCCTGTAATAAAGTCAAACTATAATACAATAACGAAAACTAAAAAACCATGAGACTAGTAACAAACTACTAACCTTTTGTTAAAAAAAAAGACTTGGAAGCTCAAAAGTAAGACCACAATATGAAAATTAAAAGAATCATAAAACTAGTAACAAATTACTACCTTTTTAAAAAAAAAAAAATCTTGAGGCTCAAAATCTCGACGCATTTAGGTTCCTATAATAAGTTCAAATAAGATCACCATGAAAGAACTACGAAGCAGTAACAAATTACCAATCTTGTTTTTTAAGAAAAAAACTTGGGTACAATCCTTGAGGAACAGGTTCCACATGCATTAAGGTTCCTGTAATAAAGTTCAACCTATAATACAATAACAAAAACTAAAAAACCACGAGACTAGTAACAAACTACTAACCTTTTATTAAAAAAAAAGACTTGAGCATAGAATCTCGGTGCATTTAGCTTCCTGTAATAAGCTCAAAAGCAAGACCACAATGTGAAAACTAAAAGAACTACGAAACTAGTAACAAATTACTACCTTTTTTTTTAAAAAAAAAAATCTTGGGCTTAGAATCTTGATGTATTTAAGTTCCTGTAATAAGTTCAAATAAGATCACCATAAAAGAACCACAAAGCAGTAACAAATTACCAACCTTGTTTTTTAAAAAAAAACTTTGGTACAATCCTTGAGGAACAGGTTCTATACATATTAAGGTTCATGTAATAAAGTTCAAACTATAATACAATAATGAAAACTAAAAAACCACGAGACTAGTAACAAACTACTAACCTTTTATTAAAAAAAAAGCTTGAGCACAGAATCTCGGCACATTCAGCTTCCTGTAATAAGCTCAAAAGTAAGACCACAATGTGAAAACTAAAAGAACCACGAAATTAGTAACAAATTACTACCTTTTTTTTTTAAAAAAAAAGACTTGGACACAGAATCTCAGCGCATTTAGGTTTCTGTAACAAGTTTCAGTAAAATCACAATGAGAAAAACTAAAAAAGCCACGAAATTAATAACAATTTGCTAACACTTTTTTATTTTTTTTTTAAGGGTAGGGTGAATGTAGATCATTTCTAATATAAATAGATCAACCAAAAAAATATTACACATGTTACTTATAAAAGTTTTTAAAAATATAATCAATTTTCATAAAAGTTTTGGGGTAGATATATTAGACTCTCTAATTCTAATTA